CACGTCAGCTACGTGTATTTGCTTCAAGGATTTGTTCATCAGATTTTCTGTGTCCTTTCTGGTTGGCTAAAGTGATCACTTTGGTTTTGGCTTAACGACACTCTATTGCAAATTGCTATATCACCTTCTTCTTAAATTTGTACCATTTAAGCAACGAGCATGGCGTAAAGGGAGCTGAATAGCCTTTAATTTTTCAGTGAAATCTTAGAAAAATTTGAAAGTCTAACAAAGTTAAAAATCCAAATATGTTACTATGAACCAGATAGGAAGAACGATGTCAAAGATCGAGGAAGAAAATAGATTCAGTCATCTTCGAACATACAGGTAAGATGCTCGAATCATGAAGTGACCTCTTAACTGTGATTCCCTACTATTACTCTGAGCACTCTCAGTAACTATGAATTAAAAACATGCTAATTATTCTTCGAGTCACTTGATAATTCCATACGAAAAATTGGAAACGAGAAGAACTTTAAAACCAGCAGCAATTGCAAAATAGTCTCTTTTACCAACAATTTCCCTTGCATGTCACTGTCTATTAAAAAAAAATAAACTATTAATGACAGTCTACCCCAAAATACTGAATAACTCTTACTGAATTCAGAAACTTCCATAAACACAAATAACGTGTCACAAACGATGAACATGAAATAAAAGGGCAAAATTTAATTTGTCAATATTCCGTACATGGCATAGAAAGAATTAGCGTTTCATCGCTTAAACGTGCAGTTTTCTGACCTCTCCTCTCTGAGGCATAACCCAAGTTTAACACCAGAAGGTTAAATTGCCTATGAAGTAAAAAATAGTTGCTGCTGATTTGACAGGCGTTTCAAAGTAAAGAAGAATGGCGTTTTCCTTTTTGGAATATCTTTTTTCATTTTACGTTTCACGTTTTTGTGTTATAAGTGATGACGTCATAGGTGGTTCCACTAAAACAGTTCAATACTCAATCAAGAATATCTCTAGAAATATTAAAGCAGTGTTCTTTAAACTTGGCACCAGAAATGTACATCACAAAATAAACAAAATGACACCCGTCGTGCCGTTGCCATGACAACAGTTATGCCGCTGGTCTCGTTTTAATTAAAACTAACATTACCAGATTTTATCTTAAACAAGGATCATCCACTCCCAACAATCTAATGGGGACAGTTAAGACAATATGGGAATCATGTGTGTTCCCAGCAAGAACCTCTGTCCCTTTTCGAAGGGGTGCAAATTGGCATATTTGGTTTTTCACAGAAAGAGACTGGAGCCAAGTGTTGCCATGGCAACAACACAGAAGGTGTCATTTTGTTTCTTTTGTGATGCACATTTGTGGTGCCAAGTTTGAAGAACACTGCTCCAATATTTCTAGAGATATTCTTGATTCAGTGTTTTACTGTTCAAGTGGAACCACTTATGACATCATCACTTTCCTCATTTGCATAATACAAAAACGTAAATATCTCTAGAACGAAAAAAGATATTCTAAAAAGGGAAACACCATTCTTCTTTACTTTGATAAGCCTTTCAAATAAGCAGCAATTAATTTTTACTTCATAGGCACTTTAACATTTATTCTGTGGGAATATTTCCCAGTTACTGTTATATCTAACAGTTCCTGCTCACATTTCTGAAGTCACACAAAATGTACACTTCTGGCAGTTCAATTATTGGCTTGTATGGAACTGATTCCCACTGGGGTAATCAGATCAGCAAACCCCTTTTATAGAAGCCACTCCTTGGATAAGTTACATACACATACATAAACTGTGATGATCTCTCGTGTCTTTACAGTCAAACCAAGTGAAGCGTACCCCTCAAGATTGCATTAATTAAAGAATTGATTATTAACCATGTGCTAATGGGCCAACCGCAGTTCATGTTCTGCACGGGGTTTACTTTTTATTTATTTTTTTGCTTTGTCGGTGACCAGACCCAAACTTCCTCTTGGCCAAATTTTGAGTCCCTCAACCTGTGATGTTTATTTGCCAAAAGCTGTTGAAACATTAATACACGGACAATGTTAGAGATATTGTTTTCTTTAATGTGTGAAATATACATTCTTTTGGTTTTATCAAAGTGTTGGATTCTAAGGAACTGTAATAAATACGCTAAAAGAAGGTATTACATCAGCCATGGAATGCGCTGACGTTGCATCTTTTAGTTTTGCTATGCGACAAATAAGATCGTGTTTACTTTGCAAGTTTATTCCACCAGGAGCAACAGTCTTTTTAGTTTTCCAAGTATTTTTCTTATTTTTTGACTAGAGAAGTGAACTGTCGCGCTGTTTTATTGAAGCGGGTTCAGAGATCAGAAAGAAAATTAAATATTTGCAAGCCAAGCAAAGAACACGTCAGAACATGCAAAGATTATGTCAGTGGTAGGGAAATAACTACTGTACTAAAGATAGCTGTAGATAACGTTTTCTTGAGTTACATGACTCGTGACTACTCATGGAAAAAATTAAATTTACTGGTAAATGTAATTGTGACTTTTAAGAAAGAAAGCTGCTGTCAATAATGTTATTATCACATCGTTTGCATTGTTCGTGCCCATACATATTCCGAAGAAACTTCCAGATTAAGACCATTACATCATCGCAGATTTCACAATGGCTACAACTGATGGTGTAATCAGAGATTTCACAATGGCTACAAGTGATGGTGCAATAAGAGGCTTAAACAGTTCATGTGTAGTCGTTGGTGTCAGTTCTGCCACAGATTAATCTGGTGATTTCAGATTTCCCAAAGGCTAAGAGCGATGGTGCAATAATACAGTTTGTGTTGATCAAGTGATGTGGTATCTACAGTAATCAATGAATCATCAAGGACTGCTTTGGAAAGTGCAATGCGTTGTGACTGTAGTGCTAAGAAAACAGTTAAATTTTAAAAGCCCACTAGTCGTTTCAACGATGCGATAATGAATTGATTATTTGAATATTGATCTCGCTAGTCATTTCAAAAATCAATATTAAATTGATTTTCTTGAACATTATAACCTATTAGCTGTATTCTTGAAATAACTAATGGGTTCAATTTGCCAATAATCAATTCATTATTGCATTCTTGAAACGACTAGCAGGTTCAATATTCAAATAATCAATTCATTAATGTAATCTTGAGGGGTACACTTCACTTGGTTTGACCGCAATGGCTGTTATTGCAGTTGAGTCTGTGGTCAAAAATTCTTTTGTTAAAAAGGGCGTAGAAGCGAGGTGAAAGGGTCAATACAAAGCAGAATTGATCCTATTGCCTCATCTGTATGTCAAACCACTGAAAACTGTGATAACAGCTATTCTCTATCCTGCCGTTCAAATATGCGATGTTTCACGTATTCACTTGCACATGCATCTTTATCATTTACACGTAGATTACACAAGGTCCATACTCTTTTGAGCCCTTCAAACTCCATGTCTTTCCATAACCTTTTCCATAACATTGTACCTTCTCCATTTTTCCATGACCTTAAGTTTAGCTGTCACTTTTGAAAATTTTCAAAACTATCCTAACGCTTGTATTTTTGTAGTCTTTGGTAATCTCCGAAATGTGCGTAGTTCAAATTGCGCTAAGAGTGTCTGTGGGGGAGGCTCATTGCTGTAGTGAAAATGTACCAGACTTAACTATTATATGCCGTGACTTTCCATTACCAACAATTAAATTCCATGATTTTTCAGGCCTGGAAAATGAAATTCTTAAATTCCATGACTTTCCAGGTTTTCAATGACCAGAAAAACTCAAAACATGACCATGAGTTCTCTAGCCAGTTAGCATGAAAGGTTAGTACAGCAATGCACTGGTATTGCTTGAACCTCATTCAAGCTTGAATCAATTTTCAGACTTTGACTTCACTTCTGCTAGTTTGGGATTTTAAATTTCCTGTGCACCACCATGTTTGTGGTGGTGGGAAATTTTGACTCATGCAGTATGCTGTGAATCTAGAGATATAAATGTGCTTCAACTCATATTCGGGATGAATATGTACAGTTTCAATGACAAATCTTTTCCTGTAGACTCCATGCATATTGAGATCTCTGACCATGCAATAACATCATAAATTACCATAATTTAAACATGGCAATGCCCAGGTAGTATAAACTGAAAACCAAACACTTGATATTTGAACCACTTACAGAGAAACTTAATTACCCCCCAGATTAGTTAAAGAGAAACGTTAGGTATAGTTCGGAATTTAAACTCCTTTTCAGCCAAGATTCCCTGTAGCAGGTTAAATCCCATGGGCAACACTGATCTCTCATAAGGAAGAAAACTGAACATCACATAAAAAGAGATGATTGAAAATGGTACATATTTGTTAAACAACATAGGGTAAGCACTTAACAGTGCACCAGCTCTTACCCAAAGTTTCTTGCAACGAAAAAGTCCAAATGCAACAACTGTTCCTCACATTCGGGGATCATGTTATCTGTGTGAAGATTCTCCCTCAGACATGAAAAAATCCTGTTGTTAAAAAAATGCACTTTTTAATAATATTGTTACTTAACAATACTGGAAAATAATTATTCAAAATAGACCACACAACTCAGTCCACATGCATGTCCATGTTCATGTACAGTGTAAATTGATGCTCCGATGGAATGGAGCCTTCACAATCTACACTTACCAGTTTTGTTGTTGTAGACTGTCTTTTCTACAATCCTATGTGTTTAGATAGAGGACCACCCTAATTAACTCAGTGTTAGCTTGGTGATATCCTCTGTAAATATTTTTGTTATTATTATCATTTTCATCATCATCATCATCATCATCTTCATTTTGATAATCATTATCATTATCATTACCATTACCATTACCATTACCATTACCATTACCATTANTGGGTTCAAGTCCCGCTCTGACTACTGACTCTAAGTTGTTTCTCGGTAGGCCCTAGTTCAACTCCTCGGTCATGCTTGTAAATAGCCAACTGGTCTGCCTCCCGCCAGTTGGGATTTTTATCCACGTTATGTTCATTTGCAGTATTTGTTTCATCATTTGGATTCATTGGCCCTGAAAAGCCCCATTTGGGGGAGTGGTCAATTAAGATATGTTATTATGTTAGATATGTTGTTATTATTATTATCATTATTATTATTATTATTATTACATTAATATTATTATACTTATTTATCATGTGCAACCTATAGTACCACTCAAATGGTTTGCATTGTAGTAATGCATAAAGTCAGTGTTCAAATGCAATGTAGCTTAGTGGCAGTCGTCTTTGATATGCGCGCCTGCTGCTTGGGAGTAATTTACCTCTTATTAACCGAACAGGAGGTCTGTATGGGAGAATCTTGACCCAGGTCGTGATTACAGACCGAACGTAGTGCGGTCTGTACACATGACTGAGGTCAAGATTCTCCCATACAGACCGACTAAGCTTGGTTAATAAGATGTTTATTATGTGGCAAACGAGAAAAATTAATTCTTTTATTGTAATCAGTTTGTAGTAGCTGACAGTTTCCTTGCGAACGGCAATGAGCTGAACTTGAAATAATTCTGCCAAATTTTGCTCATCCTCTTTACTTTTTTCTCATCATAAATAAATTTTTTTATGAATTATTGTAATTAACTTTACAGGCAGGAGTACATAGTCACACAATTACAGGTGTCTTTTCAAAAGTATGCACTGTGGCCTTTAAAGAAACAAACAAATATTGTAAATACAGTGTAAACAAACACTTGTTTAAGGTTACTTCCCACCTTCAAGGGTGAAAAAAATCATTTTTTCTTTTATTTGCCTAAATTGAAGTTTATCATTTTATCTAACATTTACAGAAAAAAAAACTTGAAAATCTTAAAAATCGCCGACGTTATTTGACAAAATTTGTTTTCCAATAAAAGTTAATAAATAATGAAGGTGTCATAATCTCATAAGACGTCTTGGAGGAAATTTTGCGGGAAGCGGGTTCTTATTTCATGTGATTTGCATATTTTCTTTGTGCATTGCGTGTTTGAGTTTCATGGAGAAATCTAAAACAGAAAGAAGTCCTTGGGTAAAATCAACGAAAACACCAGGGCCAAAGAAGAGAAAAAGGAAAGGTTTTGGGGAAGAAAGGAAAAAAAGCTTCGCAGAAAGCGACAAAGGCTCTTGGTTCGGCCAAGCGCCTTTGTCGACATCGACCGATGAACATGAGCTGTTTAATCCAGCTGGTTCACTTGGTTCTTCCGTTGGAGCAAGTTGCTTAAAAATCAAAGCTTTCAATAATGCAACTTACCATGGAGGCTCATCGTCAGAATCAGACGAAACTGATGATGAAGAATTCGAAACGAGCGACACGAAATACCAGAGTATTGTCAATCTGGACGAGCTCAATCAACAGCTTGCTGGCCAAGTCACTTGCAGTTTTTGTGGAAGTGAAGGAATAAACTTTGAAGAAGTACTCTGCTCCACGCTCGCGTCCAGGTTTCTTACAAAGAATTAAGTCACCATCATACCTAAATTTTGTCAGACATAGATTTGGAAATGTGCTTTCCTTTGACTTATAAAAATAATTTATAAATCAACAAAACACAACCTACTCCAAAGACCTCATTTCGGATATGAGAGCAGCCCGAATGTTCTCACTCGATTCGATTGATTCTCCTTCGGTTGACGCACTTCGTTTCTTGACGCGGGATTTCCGCTTGCCTTTGGCAACTTTACCCATTGCCATGATTGCTTTTCTTTCATCTCGCCGGTCAACAGATCGAAAACGTAACTGTAATGCAACACTTTTCCCGGGAAATTCTAACCCATTGTAGTTGACGCCAGGAGGTCCTGTTGCGCCATTGGCTTGCGGTTTCAAAAGGCGACATAATCTCCTGGGGCGGCGCGAGTTGTTTACAAACCTTTTTGAGCGAAAATCTCGCGTTTGATTTCTCTTAGAATGTGTCGACTTTGAGCAAATTAATAGGGTATGTAGATTTCACGGATTTTCGTAAAATTTGGCCAAAGCATTCCATGTATAATAACAAACAAAACGGTGTCAGGAAATTATCATATTTGAAATATTTTTCCCGTGGCGACCATTTACACAACGCATCTTGAACATTTTTAGCTTCTTCAACTTTGAACTAGGATATCTTGGCAACCAATCAGAGTATCAAAAAAGCCTGACACCGTTTTGTTGATTGATGCCTGTTGAATAAGACTGTGCAGCCATTTTGCTCGTGCCGCGGCATTCGATACCCGATTAATTCAAGAGAACAACTCTCGGTCATTTCACGGTTTACCGGCTGCTGACACTTCCCAAAAGAAAAAGTCACTTAAATTATATTTTTCTCATAAACTTCATTTATTAAGCTTTCTACTGATATATAGTTTGTTTAGGTTTTATTGAAACTGGCGCACGTACGAATTTTTTCCTGAAGGGCACCTGCGAAGGTGGGAAGTAACCTTAAAATCCCAACTGCTTGGAGGCGGACCAGTTTGCTATGTACAAAGCATGGAGGAGTTGAGTTTGGGTCTCACCACCAAAAGCAAATCCATCTGTATTGGGAGGGAAGAGGATTTGACCTTGGGACCCCAGTGAGTCAGTGAGTCAGTGAACAAGCAGTGAGTGGGTAAATATAGTCTTAATCCCTTATATGGGCTATGTAGGTATGTGCAGCCCCAAAGGGTATGGCTTTTCAGCTGTTTTGGTCATAAATAGGATATCGATTTTGGCCATTTTGGTGTTTAACAGGGTATGGTTTTAGCACTCTGGTCTTGAATTGGGTATGTTTCTTAGAAGAAACTGCTTTTTAACATCAATAACACTGTCAACAAAAGCCCTTCATAACTTATGTTTAGGTAAACTGTGCCAGCCACAATGGTCATAAATAGGGTATCAAATTTTTGGCCAGGTCATAAGTATGGTAGCAAATATTGCAGATTTTGGTCATAAATAGGGTAAGGGTTTTGGGAAGTGGGCCACACCTCCAAAACAAATTTTCTTGGAGTACCCCCCCCCCTCCCCTACTCCCAGGGAATATACATATCACAGTCAACTTTATAACTTACATAGCATCAGCTTCTTTTTTGTATTTATCTTTACACACTGTCAGGATGACTGGTTCACAAGCCTGGTACAAAGTGGAATCAATGCGGTAATCGCTCCAAGCACCTGTGACCTCCAAAAGCTTGTCAATCTGTCAAGTCACATATTTATTTACAGCATGTTGCAGGATTGGTCGAATTACTTAAGGTTAATTTGTTTCTACATTAGTTCTGCTTCAACTTGAAGATACCATTGATCCCAGACATCTGCTGAACTGGCTTTCTTTAGAGGCCATTTCATGAATGCAACATTCAGGGTTTTCATTAAGGGCCAGGCACTGGGCAAATTGGCTGGCTGTAAGGACAACTCTGACCACCTGATTTGACCATTTAGAGGAAAGTTTTCTTATAAAGAAAGTTCAAAAAGTAATACCTGCCTGTGAAAACCAATTGGCCTTGTGTTGAAAATGTTTATAAAACCCTCCTAGACCACTGGTTTCAGTTGTGGAATGAAAAAACAGTGATCATGTGATGATGAGTTTGACGATCATTATCAAAGAATTTTTTTTTAAACTACCTTGAGGACCTGTACACTTTTCTGTCAATTCCTGCACAGCCTGTTGCTATTTTTTGCTGTATTTGACAATCATACAATTCAAAATTTTTATGGCCAAGAATTTTGAAGGTCCTAAACAAGCTACATTTTTTAACTTGTACATGTCAATTATGGCACAATCTGCAACTAAAACCAACAGTTTCTCAAATGACCTGATAAAAAGCCATTTACACAGACTTCTAGAAACAAGAGTTACTTAACACTCTTGTGATCACATAACAGGAAGGCAGTGGCATCCTTTGTGAAGCCTGTCTAAATTATGAACGTGTATACTGGGACTCGGTCAGCTTCATTGCACCCCCATTCTGTACTTGGAATTTCACTGTAAGCACTTAATATGTACATATACCTAAGTTTGATAGATACTTAATAACTGGCTGCTAGTAAAAGTACAATCACACTAATTTATCAAGCATACATTGGGCTTTCAGTATTCCCTGTATGCAATAGCCAGCAATCGCAAGCACTATTGGCATTTTGGCATTCTGAGGGCTAAATCAATAATTTTTTGTTACACGTTTCAACTTTCACGTTAAATTAGCTTAAAAGATTATAATCGGATGTGATACATGTATTGTACACAGCATAGAGACTACACTTTAAAGCATTAACATTGCTATTATTATGTAACAAAAATGATATTGATCAATGCATTCTGATGGCACTGTAAAATTGAAAAGGAATATGGGAATAGTAATGGAGAGTAAAAATTAAACAATGTGTTTATGAGTTTTTTATTCCTAATTATCATTTCAAAATAATAATAAATTATTGTTTTGCACAAGACAAAAGATGACTTTCAATAGCCTCTGCTCTCTTTTCTTATTACTTACAGCCTTGAAGCACTGTGGCCTAATGATGTCATCCTTTCCCTCATTTTCCTCTGCCAAGTCCATTAAACAGTCGATGGTCTTCCCTTCCTTTTTTTCTCCTTTGTTACAACGTTTTTGAATTTCCACGTCACACTTTGCAACAATCTCAGGATTGATGGAGTAATCTTCCATCAGCTGTTGACTCAGATCAAATAACTCTGCCTGACACTTGCCGCTAACTTTTTGATCTGTGGGTCATCAAAAGTCGAAATTATGAGTAATGATACAGTAATCAAACATCATTATCTTCAGCCATAATTACACCTATTTAGTAAGTGTAGATCAACCCTACCCCAAACCAAAAGATAGAAAAACCAACACAAGGATCGAGATTTAAAGCTGAAACTCCTTTGCATTCCAACAACACTATAGGTGTGCTTCATTAATCCAGCACTTATAAAGTAACACAGAATTTGTAACTGAACTCAATTTAATACCAAATACTTGTTTCTTACTTAAATTGATATCAAAATATAAATGGTACCAAAATGCAGCAAAATGTTTGCCATTATTTAGATGATTGACCTTCCCAGACCAGTGAAGCGAATATGCCTATAACATATTGATTTCCTGGAGGGTTCAAAACAATTTCTGATACTGAGTGCTGATTGTAGGGACATCCAAAAAGATGTTTCACCATGCAGAGAATTGCTTGCTAAAAATTAGTCCATAACAATATTAATTCTTGTAAATTTCTGGGAAATGCAAGTACATTAACAGTGCAAATAAAGTCCTGTCTCATAACTGAGGGCTAGTGGATTATCCTGTCCAACTGTAGTGGGTTTTGAAGTATATATGAAATAATTCATATTGAACTGCAGTTGTAGATGAAGGTGAAGAATGATCATTGCAGTAAATTTTCCAATTTAAGCAATTGGAAAGAAGAAGCCTGAAAAAAATCAGGGCTTCAACCGGTGCAATGCGATCGCACCGCTATCGTGGAGGTCACGGGTTCGAATCCCGTTGAAGCCCTGATTTTTTCAGGCTTCTTCTTTCCAATTGCTTAGATTGGAAAATTTACTGCGATGATCATTCTTCACTTTCATGAAGTGGGTTTCATCTGTCACTTGCCAGATGAGCAAGTAACTTGTTAAAAAGGCCATTCTGCTTGAGAAAGGCATTTGCACTACCATAGAACGGTTCCAGTTTTCCCAAATGAGTTCCTTAACCTGGAAAACGCGCTTTCTGTGTACCCTGACATTGTGTGTAATGTGTACCTGAAAGAACTGTACAAAATTACATGCCTGGACTTAGCCAATCTCTATTCCCATTAACATGCCTCAACCTTGTGTATTCAAGAATACTGTTTACTTCAAAATATTATTACCATCTTGTATAGCTTTCTGTAAACAGAGTAAATTGTTGTGTAGAACTCCAGGGCTTGCATTTCCTCTTTCACATTCATATTGATCCTTGTATTGTTGATAAAACAGCATGCAATTCTTCATCAATGGATAGTTTGCCTTGTAAGAAGAAAATTAATAAGGAAATTAACTGAATTAACACTGACTTGACATTAAAAAATTGTCAAGCAACAGGAAGAGTAAACAGATGTCACATAAATTCTTCTTTTTAACTTTTCAGCACTTAATTTCAAGTTTTTGACAATACTACTAGGAATTCATACAGGTCATGTCACTTACACGTAAAAGCTATGCATTATCCTTTATTATTAAAAACTGGATCGTTGGATAATGCAAATCAAGAGTTTTCATTGGTTTACACATCATGGTATATGAGCCTTATACTGTGCTCTACAAATAAGTGTGTAATTTTGGGGGGCATTTTAATTTATTTCTCTTTTACTTTAGTTTTCTTTATTTTGGGGGTGTTTTCAATAATAAAAATAATTATTCCTCTCGCATTTGTTGGAAATGAGATGACTATAACCAATTTGGCACGACATGCCTCATTGGCTATCTTTCATCTCATCTCCAAATATAATCAAATATGTTATTTGCTGGCTGGGAGGCCCGTACAGTGAAAAACTGTGACCAAGGTCTTGAAAATGCTGCCAGAGGCCGGAGGCTTAGGGCACCATTTTCAAGACCTTGGTCACAGTTTTTCACTATACAGACTGACCCTGACCCGCAAATAACATCTACATGAAGTTCACCAGTTAAGTTCACCAGTTAAGTTCACCAAGATTGTTTTTCCGGTGTGAAATTTCATGCAAAGTTTGAAGTTGTACTACAAAAACAATTCTGTCAGTTGTTGCGAATCACTCAAAATCAGACTTTTCTACTGTAAATTGAGTAGCAGATAGTGAGGAAATTCATTAAGTATATTCCACAGAAATTCTCTTAAATACAGCAACAATCAGAGAGGTAAACTCGATTGCAATTGACTCATTTTTTGCTTAAAATTGTGCAACGGAGAAACACAGGATTACATGCCATTACAGTGCCGAGTGGGGCAATGAGCTACAAACAACCAAATGAACTCTCACAACTTCAAAACACTCGATTGAATTTACTTACAGTGACTTTCCTTGACATTTAAAAGTGAATAGAGATAAACTTGTGTTGATTGTTGATGGAGGTGTGAAAAACGTAAAAGATTGATGATTACCACTAATTCATTCACAAAAATAGATAAACATGATGGATTCCGCCCGCTGTGGTGGGCCGAATTGGAAAATTCCACCAGCTCCCAGGACCAATCAGATTGCAGGATTTGTTAAATTCTACCCGCTCATGAGCTGAGAAAAAAATAATTAGCCATTATGCACATGGGAAATGCACAGTTAGATGAATCACTCACAAGGTAAATGTTTCATGTCTTCATGAGTGATTCAAGATTTCAACCCATCCGAGCTTATAAAAACAACTAGTCTCAGGAGTGGACCAGAGGAAGTGAGCCCTTTATCACAGAACACAAACATTCACTGGTAACATTTTACATACTTTTGGATCAATGGCCTCCAGTCTCTGTCTCTCTGTCAACCTATGTCGACACTGTGGAAAAAGAACAAAATCATTAGAAAAAAATCAAATGATAATTTGCAATAAACACAAACCAAAGACTGAAGTGCAGTGAAACCTTTTAAGTATTACTAAACAGCTAAGTGGATAAAGAATATGGGTTGGGCTGTTTGAAAGCCAACTGACACTAATCTAGGATGTCTTAACAGCGATTGAAATTTATTAATTTTCCCATGCACTGGTACAGTGGAACCCTGCTATAACGAAGACCCCATTATAACGAACATCTGAAAGCCTCAGTGGCAGAATTACAGTCAAATATGTGGAAACGAACCCCGCTATAACGAACCCTGCTATAACGAAATCCCCACTATAACAAATAGATTTTGTCCAGTCACTCACAGCAGCCAGTAAAAACAACAGATTTGAGTAGAAATCACAGCTTGCTTTATTGCAGTTTTGACAAATACATGTACTACTATTGCTGTGTTATGACACGTCCTCCTAATCTTTAATCAAGGACAAAAGCTTTGACACTTTAGATGGCTTCTGCTGTTCAAGTTTGTAGGTGGCCAGAATTTCCAAGCCCATGCCTTTGTTTCTTCTTTTCCCTCTGACTTTGACTGGAATTTTACCTCTGTGCTTGAGGAATAAATGAAATGTTTGTGAAAGAGTCAGTGGAACATGGCTGAAAATCATTGTTTCTCTGTCTTACTAATGTTTGATGGCAATGACGTGTATCGTGTGGGTTATCTGGAACTTTGTTTGTTTAGAGACAAATCGGGAAAATGATCACTAAATGACATCAATGATTTCCCACAGGTGTTACTGTTACTTCTGAATTTTAAAGTTGATTGAAAGTGTTCTTGATTGTCAGCATGTTACACTCACAGTTTCCGGTATCAAATGAATGAAAATAATGGTTTTTTTTTGCAAAGAGTATTGAATTTTTGGTAATTGTTATTTATTAAATTACCTCACTGTAACAAATATTTTTTCTATTAACCAGATAATTTGTTATAATGGGATCTTCGCTATAACGAAGACCCCGCTGTAACAAACAATTTTTTTGGTACCGTGGCACTTTGTTATAGCAAGGTTCCACTGTATTAATTAAAAGTACTTTTATTTAGCGCTTATGTTTTATTGAGGTTGAGATTACTTCAAGTCAAATCTGCAGAGCAGAAAAATTATGTTCATTTCATAGCTGCTTTTTCTCGCACCACAACTTTTATTATTCTTTTGACAAAACAAAAATTAAATTTCACAAAATATATATCATTCTAATAACTGGTGAAATGTTAACTTTGTACCATCCCACAACCTACTTCATTACTCATGGCTGCCTCAAACTTGTATTTCTTCAAGCATTTGTACACTCTTCCCTCCCCTGATGGAATCTCTTCACAAAATCTCTCTCTGTCATCTTTGCAAGCATAGTACAGAGGACGGTCAAGACGGTAGTCATCAGAAGACAGTTCAGCTAGATAATAAATTTGTTTTTGGCATGCCTGTGATAATTTTTCCCGGTGTTCTCCAAGGCATTCTAGTACGTCATTTTGAGAGTGGATATCCTAGGAAAACAATCAAGAATGATTAATTGAATCGCATGCCTTTGAGATGAATCTAAAAGGAATGACTCGTAAACTACCGCTACTAACTAGGTAAATAAACAGCATGCAATGCATGCAGAAGTGATGATGTTTAAAAATTGTTCCTAGAAGATTTGAACATGAGCAGACAAACTGATTCTTAAACTTTTGGGTTAGAAATTTTAGGGGTTTACATTTAGGGTAGTCCATTGGTGGTTCATTCAAGTAGTTCATGTACCAGGTCCATCTTGTTAGTTCCATGTGTTAGGGGTCAGCGAAATGTACCAACCCAAATAAAAAGCACTCCGCTGAAAAGTTCCTCTCTCTGAAATCAACACCTTCTTATCTTTGAAGATGTTTGGCAAAGCTAATTACCTCACTGGAAATTAATTTCTTGTTTTAACCATATACTTGTCCGAGAGAAAATCATTTTCTCTCGACTTGTCATATTGCATGTGCAACCCGCTTGTCTATCTAAAATTGTATGTATCGAAGATATGTTATTATGAGTTTGCCCATGAGTGCAAATTTATCCCACACTGTATAAACCAAAATCCACCCCCAAATCTTCATTTAAAAGCTGAAATTAAAAGCACTCCGCTGATCCTACAAACAGCAAAGGAAAGCCACAAAGTACAAGTTTCTCTCTCTGAAATCGACACCCTATTAATATCTTTTAAGATATTTGGCAATGCTAATTACCTCACAAAAAATTAATTTGTTGTTAACCATATGTGACCATGAACGGGAAAATGTACCTTAACGCTTATCCATTAGACGGGCAAAAGCATTAAGCATCCGTTAGTCATCCGTTAGAACATTTTCTTAAAAACGTTAGAGGCGTTAGCCCAACCGTTAGATGTTAGCATCAGGCCGTTAGAACGGAGAGTGTAACCGTTAGCAAGAGACATGTATCTGTTAGCCCTTAGCATCAGACCGTTAGATGGACCAGCATAACCGTTAGCAAAAACTCTGTATCCGTTAGCACGGCTAGAGAAGCCGTTAGGATCCGTTAGAATAAATTAGCATCCGTTAAACGGGTAACGATTCCGTTAGAATGGCATGACATGCATTGAAGTAGAATGTGGTAGCCTAACATGGTGTGAAACAAGAGCAGCTCTTGGCTTCCATTTAGTTCAAAACAATCATGAGAGATAACTATCTTTCGACGAGAAGTTTGGCGATTATTATTTTTTGATGCCCTGATTGATAAATACAACTCGAATGAAATTCAATAAAGCCTTCATGCTATAA